CAGCTAAGAGATCTTCAAACCGACTATGTAGAGCTTTCAAGTCCTATTAGGATGTCATTCTAGAGCTTTTATCTAGCCAAGTACTTATCACTTTTTTCATTTCCCTTTCCTTCCAATCCGGCAGGTCTTTCTTGTGCTCCAAATTCCCACTATGAACTCTGCGCTCGGGACTGTGGCCAGACTTGTGGCAGCTTCTACGTCCAAGTCCCTTGTTCGGCTGAGTGCCGGGAAGCCTGTGTGTGTGATGAGAACTTTGCACTGAGTGGCGATAGTTGCGTCGCTCTGTCACAATGTGGCTGTTTCTATCAAGGTCGCTATTATTCAGCAAGAGAGTCTTTCTACCCAACATGCCAAGAGTGCTGCACTTGCCAAGCTGGGGGGACCGTTACATGTTCAGCAGTCTCCTGCGGTCCCAATGAGGAATGTAGGCTGTCAGGTGGCATCCGTAAATGCTACCCTGTTGGCAATGCCACCTGTTCTGCCTCTGGTGACCCTCACTACCTTTCATTTGATGGCCTGGCCTTTGATTTCCAGGGCACTTGCACATATACTTTAGCTGAGACCAAAAAAGACATCCGTGCCTTGACCTCCTTCAGTGTTAATGTGGAGAATGAGCCTTGGGGGAATGGGAAGGTCTCGGTTACCAAGATGGTCTCTGTCAAGGTCTATGGGATTGTACTTACGTTAATGCAAAACACACGGGGACAGATTAAGGTGAGTCTTATGCAATGTGGAAATGTCAGCCCTTAGATCTTTAGGATCTTACTTCTTTCTCTGGTATTGTCTTGGTTCACCCATTAAATTGGACATTGTAATTAAATAATATTGCAAAGGACTCTCTTCTCCATCAAGCAGACAACTGAAAATATAAAGCCCATTCTTAGATTTTCTCTGCTCTGATGGGAACAGCTACCCAAAACCCATCTGCCCTCTACAGTTTTTTAAAATGTTTTTTTCTTTTCATTTTTTTAAAAAATATACATAACTATAATTACCATACTTTTTCCCCCTTTTTCATCGGACGCAGTGTTCTCTGTTCCTTCTCTCTGTTTCTCTGCACTGCCAAAATGGAATTTCATGGAGGCCACCATATAGTGCAAGACAATTTCTGATGGGACTCAGTATAACTCCGTTTTGGAAGTGTAGATAAACTGAGCCAAGAATAACTTTTGAGAAGTCAGGTGTTACTCAACTCCAAACGGGTGAAATTGGGGGGAAGATGGACCTTGATGGGGAAAGGATGTGGGATGCTGGCCATTCCAGAAGACAGAACTTGATGGAAAGGAATGGAGGAAAGGGAATGATAATTCCCTCAGCTTTCCTCCAGCTTTTCCCCACTTCCCCACTGCTCATGGGATGACATCCCAAAAGTGGTCTCCTTTTGCCTTTCTTGGCCATCCCCCACTTTTACCTTCTCCTCAGTCCTTTGCTTCAACCCCTCCACCCCCAAACAAAGCCAATATTCTGTGCAACAAGAAAATTGCTATCTTCTTTCCCTTAGGTGAATGGTATATTCCAGCCACTTCCTGTTACAATTGCTTCTGAGAAGCTCAGAGTTTATCAACATGGCACTAAAGTCCTGATGAAAACTGACTTTGGCCTCACTGTGAGCTATGACTTGGTTTACCATGTGACAGTCACTGTCCCAAGCACTTACCAGGGCCAGGTACAAGGCTTATGTGGGAACTACAATGGGCAGAAAGATGATGAATTTCTGCTCCCTGATGGCAGCAAAGCCTCCAATGCAGCTGCTTTTGGGGCTGCCTGGAAGGTTTCAGTCCCAGGGGCAACTGGAGCCTGCTCAGATGGATGCTCAGGAAGTGACTGCCCAACCTGCGAGGAAAGGAAGAAGCAAGTTTTCAAGCAGCACAACTACTGTGGCATCCTCACAGCATCAGATGGCCCCTTTAGAGCCTGCCACAGCAAGGTGGACCCTAGCGTGTACTTCAGTGACTGCATTTATGATCTTTGCGTGGGCAATGGAGACAGGCCAGTCTTGTGCCAAAGTATCCAGAGCTATGTGTCTGCCTGCCAAGAGGCAGGTGTCTCCGTTGAGTCCTGGAGGAATTCATCATTTTGTGGTGAGTACTGGAGACTGTGCACTGGGGTATGCATAGGTTGAGAAATGAAACAGGATTATTACCTGACCTTACATTCTAATATTTAGGCCAGAGCTTTCCAAACTATGTGTCATGACACATTAGTGTGTTGGCTGCAATGTGTAGATGTGTCATACGAAGGTAATGAGAAATCTCTGAGTCTTCATGAAGTAAGCAATACATAATATTTTAAAATGTATACAAATGAAAGTTTTTCCTGAAATATGTTTTGTCCCCAAACATTTGTTTGTTTGTTTGTTTGTTTACTTTATTTCTATCCTACTCTATCTCACTCCACGGGGGACTCGGAGTGGCTTACAATTTGGCAGAATTCACATATTACAATTAATGTGCCTGCATCTCATATAAGGGGTTAGTTTAATCTCTAATTTGCTAGTAAAACTGAATTACCATGACACAATGAAATGATGCATGTCTAGAAAGTGTGTCACCAACTTGAAATGTTTGGAAAGCTCTGGTTTAGGGGCTCCGCTTTTTTTAAAGTATTCATGTCATAAGGTTAGGGAAAGGAAAGAAATGTTTTCCCTTCTATGTTTTGGTCTTCAAAATAAAGATTGATGAATCTTCCAGAAATGCAGACACCCCAAACCTGGGACTCAAAGCAAACTGGTTTATTTATTTTGAACTATCTAGGATACTTAATTCATTTTGAGGAAGTCCATATTACAACTCATTTGAAGCCCATACTACAGTTTGGAGTGGATCCATCCCCAGTGAATTGTCGAAGGATTTCATGGCCGGAATCACTGGGTTGTTGTAGGTTTTTTGGGCTAAATGGCCATGTTCTAGAGGTATTTTCTCCTGACGTTTCGCCTGCATCTGTGGCAAGCATCCTCATAGGTAGTGAGGTGAGGAGGCCTCTGAGGATGCTTGCCACAGATGCAGGCGAAATGTCAGGAGAAAATGCCTCAAGAACATGGCCGTTTAGTCCGAAAAAACCTACAATAACCCATCCCCAGTGACTTAGAAGCTCCCAACTCACATAACTTTTTGCATTCTCCAGTTAGACTTACATAAGGGCCTTTTTGACTTTGTGACAAGGAGAGGACTTTTTTTTTTCTTTTCCAACTTTGTACAACTTCTGGTATGTGCATAGTGGGTGTAATAAAAGCTAATGGTTAGGAATTTAGAGCATATGCTTTGTTATTACATGGAAACATTTCCCCACCTGCAATATAGCTTAGGTCATAGAGGCTACTGCGGTCATAAACTACAATTTACTTAGCTTGTGACACTGATAAAAGATTATAACTTCCTTTCTATTTGCATTATTGGAATTAGGGTTCGAGGTAATACAATAAAGTCAATATTATAGACACATTGTTAATAATTTTTTTTCTATTGCTATCTCACCCAGGGTTTTAACGTTTTAACATTTTAACATTTTATCTTGCACCTTTGGCCCGCTCTTTGTATTTGATGTCTATTATATTGTTCTGCACTGTTTATTTCATTTTGTTGCTTCATATATTTTGTTGCGATGTAATTTTTCTTTTATTTTGTGTATTATTTTTGAGCTTGGCCTCATGTTAGCCGCCCTGAGTCCCCTTTCGGGAGATGGTGGTGGGGTATAAATAAAGATTATTATTATTGTTGTTGTTGTTGTTGTTATTATTATTATTATTATTATTATTATTATTACCATCTAGAGTAGACCTATACACACAAACACACATATATTTTTATTCCATCTGAAATAGCAAAAACATTTATTGAAAAAAATCTCATTTGGGTTTCTTAACCTAGCTCTGAGCTGTCCAGCCAACAGCCACTATGAGGTGTGTGCCGATGTCTGCTCCACCAGCTGTGCCAAGATCACAGACCGCCAACCATGTCCAGAGACCTGTGCAGAGGGCTGCCAGTGTGATGAAGGCTTCTTCTTCGATGGCTTGAGCTGTGTCCGTGCAGAAAGCTGTGGGTGTTTCCACAATGGCCGCTACTACAAGGTAGGCTGAAACTTCTGACCTGTATTTTACTCAAACACCCCTTCTGAAAAAGTGCCCTATTACCTTATTTATGAATTAGGCTTTATTTATTGGCTTTATGTTCTTTTCAGCCCCAAAATACAAGAAACTGATATTATCCTCAACATTTCTCAGGGCAGTGATTCTCAACCTTCCTAATGCTGTGACCCCTTAATACAGTTCCTCGTGTTGTTGTGACCCCCAACCATAAAATTATTTTTGTTGCTATTTCATAACTGTAATTTTGCTACTGCTATGAATTGAAATGTAAATATCTGATATGCTGGATGTATTTTCATTCACTGAACTAAATTTGGCATTTATACCGGAAAACACCCAAATTTGAATACTGGTGGGGTTTGTGGGGGATTGATTTTGTCATTTGGGAGTTGTAGTTGCTGGGATTTATAGTTCACCTACAATCAAAGAGCATTCTGAACTCCACCTATGATGGAATTGAACCAAACTTAGCACACAGAACTCCCATGACCAACAGAAAATGCTGGAAGGGTTTGGTGGGCATTGACCATTAGTCTTAGAGTTGTAGTTCACCTGCATCCAGAGAGCACTGTGGAGTCAAGCAATGATAGATCTGGGCCAAACTTGGCACAAATACTCAATATGCCAAAATGTGAATACTGGTGGAGTTTGGGGAAAATAGACCTTGACATTTGGGAGTTGTAGTTGCTGGGATTTATAGTTCACCTACAGTCAAAGAGCATTCTGAACTCCACCAATGATAGAATTGGGACAAACTTTCCACACAAAGCCACCATGCCTTGAAGGGACTCACTGGCACAGCCTCACACACTCTACCTTACTCACACAAGTGCACCACGCTGCCGTGAGCTGAGCACATCTGCTTTCCCCTCCTCACTTGGAGTCTCAGAAGCACCTCCACCCCCCTTGGCTGAGAGGCTGGCCAATCATAGTGAAGAGGGGCTTTTGGTGGGAAGATTTGCTGTCTGTTTCCAAAAAGTAGGAGAAGGACAGGCAGAGAGATCTTCAGCCTTCTCTGCCAAAGAGGTTCCTAAGACCATCAGAAATATATGTTTTCTGATAGTCTTTGGTGACCCCTCTGAAACCCCCTCATGACCCCCCAGGGATCCCGACCCCCAGGTCGAGAAATGCCGTGTTAGGGGTTTTGTCTGGCATTTTTCTATGTATCTTAAAATGCCTTAGGTCTTATCTTTGAAATATAGAAGAGGGAGAATCCCTACTTAGTAAATTCTTCTTGCTACAAAAGGTGCATCAAATGAGAAATTGTTCATTTTCAATATTGTACCAAAATAATAATAATATAATAATATAAAACTTTATTTATATTCCATCCTATCTCCCCAGGGGGACTCAGGGCAGATTCTAACATACATCAGCAAACATTTAATCCCTCCATAAAACAACAAGTACCAACATTATAATCCCAGAAAAACCCCACATATGAAAACAACATTAGGATCTAACATCAGTAAATTGAACCAAGCATAATCAAACAAAATTATATAATGATGTAAAATCTGAACATAAAACATTCACATTAATTTACGAATGCCTTTGTTTATTTATTTGTATTTATTTATTTTGTGTCAAAAGTATTGTTTATTGATAAATGTACACATTATTTGTTCCAGTATTATTGCCCCAACTTTTCATTATGTTAAATTTCCTACCAGCCAAATGAGAAGGTTCTTCTGAATGCATGCCAGGACATCTGCACTTGCATTCCAGGACGGGGGGTAACCTGTGAATCCCACACATGTGGCACCGGTGAGACCTGCAAGATCCACAATGGAGTCCTGAGTTGCATCAATAAGGGTAAAGAGATTATTTCAAGCACATTGATTGCTAAAAATTGAGTTAAAATCTTAACCAGATAGCTATATGTTTAAGGTGCATATTCTAATATTTATGCTTGGCGAATAGACCACCCTGTTCCACTCATGCTCTATCACTGAGAACACAATGAATGGCTATGGTTCTCTTTATTATTGATACCAATTTTCTTCTGCAGAATCTTATATTTCCAGCATGGTTTGGTGGTTTGAGCATTGGACTACAACACTGGAGACTGAAACTCATTAGGTGACCTTGGGCAAGTGGCATTCTCTCAGACACAGAGGAATAATAATAATAATAATAATAACAACAACAACAACACTGAGCGCAGTGCCTAAAGACCTTGGCCTGCACTTAAACACAATCGGCGCTGACACAATTGCCATCTGCCAGCTGCAAAAAGCCACCTTACTGGGATCTGCATGCATTGTTTGCTGATACATCACACAGTCCTAAACACTTGGGAAGTGTCCGATGTGTGATCCAATACAACAGCCAGCAGAGTGTCTGCTGTTGACTCATCTTGTTGTGTTACAAATAACAACAATAACAACAACAATAATCTTTTATTTATGTCCTGCCACCACCTGCCAGAAGCACGGGGCAGCGCACAAAACATTCAAGGTGTGACATGCAAAATACAAGTGCAAAACAAAGCATGCACATAGACAATAAACAATCAACACAACATCATACAGTCATAGGATCCCTGGTCAAAACAATAAAATACAGCAATTGCTGCAGATAAAACAGCAGTATTTGATCTCAGAAGTAAAAAAAAGTGCCAATAAAGAATCTATCGGTCCTCATATATATTATTAGAGAATCTATACATGGTCAAAGTCAGGAACACAATGACAAACAAATCTTGCTAGAAGCCATTGTGATGGGGTCTCTTTAAGGTGCCTTAAGTCAGGAGTGGGAGTTCCCGGTGGCACAGTGGGTTAAACCACTTAGCTGCTGAACTTGCTGACTGAAAGGTGGCCGGTTCAAATCTGGGGAGCGGGATGAGTCCCGTTGTTAGCCGCAGCTTCTGCCAACCTAGCAGTTCGAAAACATGCAAATGTGAGTAGATCAATAGGAATCGCTCTGGAGGGAAGGTAACAGAGCTCTATGCAGTCATGCCGGCCACATGAATTTGGAGGCATCTATGGACAATGCTGACTCTTCAGCTTAGAAATTGAATTGAGCACCATCCCCCAGAGTCAGACACAACTAGACTTAATGTCAAGGCAAAACCTTTACCTTTACCTTTAAGTCAGGAATGACTTGGATGCACACAAATCCAACAATTGGTGAAGTCAGAACTTGTAGTATAGGAATTGTGACCGCTCCTCAAGCTTCAAAAGCCACTCTAAACTTAGTTCTAATACATAACCTGGAAAAAATTGATTATATAACTGCTTCATACCAACACAGGCCATTATAGGCTTCTCAATAGTCACAACATGTCATTTGCTGCCCCATTTTGAGAATACCTGAGTACCACTTGGCAGTACATGGTTTCTCATCCTTTCTCATTACAATTAGCACTGATACATGGATGTACCTATTGGTTCAAATCTGTTTAAAACACACCCTGTCTTTACATCTAGCATTCACTTTTGTGTTTTCCTTCCATTTCAGATCCGTGTAAAGCTTTGCCATGCCGAGAAAAAGAAACATGCAAAGTTAAGGATGGCGAAGCCCAGTGTGTCCCGGACTTCACAGGAACCTGCTGGGGTTGGGGAGACCCCCATTACAGTACATTTGATGGGCTGAAGTTTGATTTCCAGGGCACTTGTTCTTACACCATTGCCAAATACTGTGGAAATGACTCTACACTAGTGCCTTTCTCTATCGATGAGAAGAATGACAATAGGGGCAGCCAGGCAGTATCCTATGTGCGTCTGGCCCACATCTATCTGCATGGATATAAGATCTCCATCTACAAGCAGGAAATTGGAAAAGTCAGGGTATGTCAGCTGGTCATATGATAAAAGACCCCTCCAGTGTATAAATGAATTCATTGGATTGCTGTGAGTTTTCTGGCTGTATGGCCATGTTCCAGAAGTATTCTCTCCTGATTTCACCCATCTATGGCAGGCATCCTCAGAGGTTGTGGTCTGTTGGAAACTAGGCAAGTAGGTTTATATATCTGTGGAATGTCCAGGGTGGGAGAAATAACTCTTGTATGTTTGAGGCAAGTGTGAATGTGGGAATAATTGAGAGCAACATTCAAAAAACAGGGGAATTCCAGACAGAAACAATCAAGGGCCAGCTAAACCTTCTAACAAAGGTTCCCCCAACAGGAAGCAACACTTGCCTCAAGCAGACAAGAGTTCTTTCTCCACCCTGGACACTCCACAGATATATAAACTCACTTGCCTCACAAAGTTTCCAACTGACCTCACAACCTCTGAGGATGCCTGCCATAGATGTGGGAGAAATGTCAGGAGAGAATGCTTCTGGAAATGGCCATACGCCCAAAAAACGTACAACAACCCAGTGATTCTGGCCATGAAAACCTTGGAAAACACAGTGAATTCATTGTTGACACTTCACATCCCCACAAACAATTATCATGGCTCTATCCTACAAAATCTTAGAATTTGTAGTTTGGTGTGGAAATTAGAATTCTCTGCGAAGAGGTCTAGCACTGTAGTCTAGAGGAGCAGACTAGAGTTGTCTAGGTACCTGCTCATCATAAAATTGTGATAATGGCTAAAATCAATATTAAATATTAAGCAGTGGGGGTGCAGATGTCAAGAAATGGTCTCCCCTTTTTGAAATCTATTCCACCCCAAAAACCCTTCTAAACAGCTTCATTCTACATTATGCTAGTGCTGTTTCTCCTAGAGCTTGCTTAGCTGTTCCTCTTTCCTAAGCTCATGGTAACATGGAGTTGTTGATACAGCTGTGCAATTCTCTGCAAACCAAAATAATTATTATTTATCTGTTTTGTTTTCATTGTTCGTTTCCCAAGATAAATGATGCAATTGTGAGCCTGCCACTGAATCTTGAGGATGGGAAGATCAGGCTTTACCAGAGTGGTTCCAATGCAGTTCTTGAGACAGATTTTGGACTCCAAGTTACATATGACTGGAACTGGCATCTGGTAATCACTCTTCCCAGCAGTTATTACGGAGCCATGTGTGGGCTCTGCGGAAACTTCAATCAAAACCCAGGAGATGACATGACCTTTCTCAATGGGACCAAGGCTCCCTCCATTGTAAGCTGGGCCAGCAGCTGGAAAGTGAGGGACCGGGACCCTTTCTGCAGGGATTACTGTCAAAGTAATTGCCCAACATGTGATGACAGCAAGAGAGACTTGTATGGCGATGAAGGCTATTGTGGACTGATCAGCAAAACTTCAGAAGGGCCCTTCAGAGAATGTCACTCCATAGTGAATCCAGATGACTTCTTTGATAGTTGCATTTATGATGTGTGCCTAAATGGAGGAGCCCAGAACATCCTCTGCCAGGCCTTGGAGGCCTATGCTAAGACCTGCAGAAAAGCGGGTGCCACCATATATGATTGGAGGACACCCTCTGGATGTGGTGAGTGTTCTTTCTCCACATAGACCAGTGGTTCCTAACCTGTGGGCCGTGGCCCACTGGTAGGTTGTGAGACCTAAATAAGGGTCCATGGCTCTAGATGGTTAAATATGGTTTTCTGTGGGCAAAGAGATGGTGACTACTGGATGGTATATGTTCTGTACCAGAAACTAGAGCTGATGTGATCTATCCAATGCAATTTTATGAATCAGTACCCCTAATAATTAAACAAAATCTAAAGTTGACCAAAACCTGATTCGTAACCCTTTTGGTTCTAATGTTGGAGAGCGGTCCCTGGTCAAAGTGGTCTCTGCTCAGAGTGGTCCCTGGTCAAACAAAAAAAAGGTTGGGAACCACTGATATAGACAATAGCTTTATTGTAATTTGGATGACAAGATTATAGCTGAGAGGTCTTGTATCAGATGCGAATGTTTCTGTATACATGTAATATCAGTATGGACATTTGCCCTATGCTATTCCAGTTACACTGCTATTTCTCTTGTTTTCATACTGCCTTTCTTTCTCCCTGGGTTTTCTCTTCTGTCACCCCCAAATATTTTCATCCTGTACTAGCTTCACATGGGCACGTCACTGCCTGATGTTTTTTGGTTTTTTTTTTTTTTTTTGCTCTCTTGCACTCATTGTACACAGTCCATATAATGCAGTTCAAAGCTGGCTCAAGGCTAGAGTGTGCAAAAGACGTAAACCCCCAATATAATGTAAAGAGCTGGGCATGTTTAGCCTGCAGAAAAGAAGGATGAGAGGAGACATGATGAGAGCCAAGGATAAATATGTGAGGGGAAGTCATAAGGAGGAGGGAGCAAGCTTGTTTTCTGCTGCCCTGGAGACTAGGAAGCGGAACAGTGGCTTCAAACTTCAGATTCCATCTGAAGATGAGGAAGGTCTTCCTCACTGTGAGAGCTGTTCAGCAGTGGAACTCTCTGCCCCAGAGTGTGGTGGAGACTCCTTCTTTGGAGGCTTTTAAACAGAGGCTGGATGGCCATCTGTCAGGGGTGCTTTGAATGCAATTTTCCTGCTTCTTGGCAGGGGGTTGGACTGGATGGCCCATGAGGTCTCTTCCAACTCTATGATTCTATGATTCAATATGCGCTGTAGTGTGCTTCAAGTCAGAAACAAAAAAACTCACAAGAAAGTCTAGAATAAGTATGTCCTTTGCAAGGCTCAAATCTGAGACCGAAACATGGCAAGTGCTTTTCAGGACAGCCCTAGTGTTGACACACTTTACAAAACCCCAGAGCACGGGTGGACAGAAGGTAAATAAGCAACCCCCACCCATAAACTATATCATTACCATGGGAATGCTTACTTTCTGCCCCTTTGTTTCCATTTCCTGTTCCTTTCCAGTGCTCAGGGCCATTATTTTAATCATGTAATTGCCGTGTAAATTCATATGGCTTTATACATGGTGTGCATGCAAGGCAGAGATAAATGCTATGATTTAAAAACTCTACAACTGGCAACCATGACATCAAGCACAACTGTGATTTCACTCATTGGCTAAATACTTACAGTAGTAGCAAATTCATCCCTTATATATACACTAGCTGTGCCCTGCCACGCGTTGCTGTGGCCTATAGTAAAACTTATCAAAGTTGAGGTAGATATCTGGACTATTATGAAAGAGAGGTACCTACCTATTCCTTCCCCCTTTTCCTCCCCTTTCTCTCCTTTCTTCCTTCTCTACCTCTTTCTTTCTTTCACTACTTGGTTTCATCCTTCTCTCTTTCCTTCATTCCCTCCCCCTTTCTTCCTTTGCCTTTCTTCCCTCCCTGTTTGCTTCCTTCTTTCACTTTTTATTTCCTTTTATTTCACCACCATCATAACAATAACAATAATGCAATGCATTGCCTCTGGGACCTGACACCTCTCCCATTCCCCCAGGGTCTCAGAGGAATA